GAATAATAAAAAACCGTTCCGCCTTAATTATCTGTAGGTTCATCACTGAATGTCATATCACATCAGTCTGTTCGTTTTTCTATTATCTTATTTTTCTTATTATAAACTGGTCGGTGTTGAAAAACTCGCTACATTAGATTCATACCGGTAAGTGTTAGCGTGACGTAGGCAGTTACAATCTAGGAGGCGGCTTACCTGTACAAATCAACGGGAACCAGATGGCAATCTCTATGACCCCATTCTCAAAGATTTTAGATCGATCTATCCCTGTGGGGAGTCTCACTCGATTACTGTCAGCTTAGCCGGCTTAAGCGTCTGTCCTGCCTACTAAAAGCTGTAAGTGGGTAATTAACTTTAGTGCGCGCTCGGCTGACTGCAATTTAGCGTGAACCCCCAGGGAGTTAGGTCGATCTAAATCTAAATCCCTGGATCGATCTAAATCTCTGGGAATACACCCTATCTCGGAGTACTCTCTGTGATACACTTCAGATCAGTGCAGTTCACGGTACATTAGGTTAACTCGCGCAGCCTTATGTGTCACACTTCGTTTGATTAAAAAGCCAATGCTACAGTTCGTACACGCAGTCCCAGTTTCCTGTGCATAACAATCCTCTTCATGTTTTCTATCTGGCTTGGATAAGTTACAAACGCAGCAGTGAATGGTTTTAAAAGCAAAGTGTACACAGGCGTTCGAAAAGCTAATTGCTCGGACTAACTTGCACTGTATGTATGAAACGCAAAGTACGTATTGCCAACAACTATGAAACAAACAGGCAATTAAGGTTACGGCAGAGAGAAGAGGCAGGAAGTTGAACGGCTGACAGCCACGTCGAGATCGTATCACAGAGCAGTCTATCCCAGATCAGTAGCTGATATTGCAGGTTCTCAACGCGTTTCCATAGTAACTGCAGATCGGCGTGGAATTTGCAATCCTTGGCGCTGTGGAAAATATAAGTGCGTATCCAGCGTTCTTCTGTGCTTTTTAGACTGGATTATGCCTGAAAATACATTAGTCTGAGAAAGATTTGGTACAACCAAATTAAAGAAGGCTTTTGGTTTAAAGTTTGATGACATTCAATACACAGACTGTAAGAAAAGACGGCATATTGAAATGGAATACACTACACTTTCAAATAACAGCGGAGGTGGAAGAAATCCGGAACGTTACAACAGTTATTTGTACACCAGAAATATGGACATCATTGGTTTCATATGTGCTTCTCTTGGTGGGGCAGCAAACATGGTATCCCTGCTTGCCCTGCGTGCTTCTTCCATTAAGAAGAAAAGATCCGGGCGGCTCCTGATCAACCTTGCCTTCTCAAACGTCATTTTTTGTTTCATTCTTATGTTGTACGATGCACTGGACGCTGCAAGGTTGACCGCCGAAATGCACAATGGTATCAACAGCACAATTTTTCAATCTGACTTTGCAAATGGTTATGACGTCGATGTCACATCAGAGCGTACCACGACTTTGTATGACGTCACATTTGGAAATGAGTATGGCGGAAATGACGTCAAAATCTGGCATGACAGCGGCCCACTTTCATGTCTGTACCATTTTTCCGTTGCTTTGGAATGGATACGTGAACTTTTTCCGTTCTTGGCTACAACCTGGCTTGTTGTGGATCAATTTATGGGCGTGGCCTTCCCGCTTCGTCAAGGCCTGATCTTCACACCTAAAGTTGTCGTATTGTTGATAATTTCCACGTACGTTATACCACTGGTCTATTTGACCGTCTCGACTGTGACCGATGTCGCAAATCAGATCAAAATAGACTGCACGGTGATTTTCTTTAATAGATACAGGCATATGGAATATCTGGACCCCCACTTCGTCGCCAGTGGCATTTTCGTGGCGACAGTGTTCCTCACAAACTTGGCCCTTTATCTGTTGCTCATGGTTATCGTGAGACGCCAAAGTGTTCAGTTAACACATACGAAAAATCACCAGTCAAAAATCGGAGAGAAGGATAATAGTAATGTCTACATTATTGTCGGCCTGTTGTTTTGCACTTTGTTTGTTTTCTGGTCACCAATGGTGGTTCTGTATTTCTTGACAATATTTGACAAAGGGTCCGTTGAGCAGTCAGTCACCGACACTGTGGCGTTTATAACGGTCCTTAACCCCTTAGCGGACGCGGTAGTGTACGGTGCACGACTGGAACAAGTACGCAAGGCGTACAGTTCCTTCTTCAAGAAAATTATGCAGCGATGCACGTGTAAAAAGTGAGCATTGTGGAACTATGCACTTTTTACTAGTGTGTCTCACTATCTGTTTTTTGTAATATTCATTTCAGTGACAGATTAAATGGCGTTTATGCCGTGGAATTTGCGATTTGGATTAGAACCGTTCAGTGAATATGACAAGGCAATTGTACTGACGTACCATCTTTGACGTACCACTTTTGATCAAAAACAGAGTCTGAAGTGCTTTTATTTACAAATGATAACCTCACCGCAGGTTGATTTTGTTATAAACAGTGCTTTGTTATTCAGATACCATTATTAACGTGATTAATGGTACACAAATACAAAATAGGTATCCATAGTTTATACCATTCAGGCCCGTAGCCAAGGGGGTTCGGGGGGGGGGGGGTTCGAAAGAACCGCCCCTTTTGCTGGAAAAAGGTCCACTCTGGATAAAATTTGATCTAGTTACATGAAGTTTTTATGGAAAAAGGTCCACTTTTTCAGAAAAAAAACCTTTTGAAATTGCTGGCTACGGGCCTGGCCATTTATTAACAATAATAACAGGCACCTCCTTAATTTTTTGTTTCACTGTGATTTCCCCAGAGGTATAGACATGTTCCTTAAATTGAAAAGACACGAGAGGATATTAAGTCTTGCTCAGTTTACAAACTGAATATAAAGTTAACTACACATTTCTATGCTTATCATCCTAATTGTAATAAGTCCATGGCAGGTAAATCACTCTGATCGGAGGTATACAGCTAATGGTTTTGTTTCTAGTGATCTTAAACTCAAGGTGTCGGTTAATAATCCATATATGATAAATATTACACGTTCTCACATTCTCAGCAGTTTTTTTTAGAAGTACAAAAGATTAAAAATTGAGAAAAAACGAATCGCTATTGTTTCGACGCTGTCCAGATAACACGAAAGTGTATATAAAAAAGATTAAACACGGACAATTTTTTCAAGCATTGGTATTTATATCTTATGAACTATAAAGAAAAAAACATTTGCGCCTAGAGATCACATTGAATTGTTCCATTGATAACACCTTTTGTCCCAATGCACTCCATTATCTACTTGCAGTGTAAATGTCAATAAGATAACAGTACTTATATTAGGATTGTAAGTGGTAGATAACGCAGTTAATACCATCTATCGAATGGAAGAGTTGAGGGATAGTTAGCTCTTTTTCTGTTTGGAATTTAAATGTACATTAGATCCATCAGCAGTTCTTATCCATTTATAATACAAAGCCTTAAGCTCATTATACCCTTACAACTTACACACTTAAGCTTGCAAAACAATAAGCATTTACAGGATAAGGGATTGCAGCTACATGCAGCTGTATGACATACTTCACAATACTGACTAACTAAATCTTTATATGTTATCTTATTTTGTTTTTCGATTTATTTGCTTTTTAAAGGGATATCAACTCTTCAAATGGGATTCAAAATTCCACAATAAATACAATGATAACAACAAACAGAAAGATAATAATTTCCATTTAACCACCAAACCAGCGAATATCACAATTATCCTGATATGTTCGCTTACCATCGGACCACGTGGGCCTTCTTAAATGGCTCCACCCCGAATATGGGTAAATCCTCGTTAACCCTCGGAAAATCCGTTTTATGGTACTTTACGAACAGTTGTTATCCCTTTAATGTTCACAGTGTTTGGTAAACTACTAGTGCCATCTGGAGAGCGTGAAAGGAAGTGCGCAAATTGCTTTTACATTATCCCGCATCAACAATATACACAGACAGTGGTGTTCATCAGTACCCTTTGTTCTATCATTGATTACGGCTGTCAAACTTTCTATCAAGTGGGAAATATCAGGGAGCCTGTAGAACATAAAATTAAGTGCAATTTGCAATCTCATTTTACAGGTACTTGTAAATTGTGTGATTCAGGCATTATCAAAATAAACGCCATATGCAGTGTAAAAAGAGACTGAAAGGAATCGAAAATTAAATATTTACAATGACTATCAAGTCACGTAAAAGGTCAAAAACCCTATAGTAATTCAAATATGAACCATTGAATACTACCGAAGTTTCTTCCCCTTCTCAATACCATTTTCAAAACCTATTTCCTACTAAATGTGAATTTATAAAGTGTTTGTTTCATAAACACTTGAGGAGCTAAATTATTTGCAACAAAAATGTTATTATAAAAATATAATATTTAATATATCTAAAAAATAACCACATAGAATAATGCCTACAGCAACAAAAATACGTGCAATTATCTTTAAAAAACCAAACATTCTCAAGGATTGGATTATATATTAAACAATAGTAAACAAAGTATGTTAACATATTAAATATAAATTGGCCACTCATTGTAAGTTTAATAAGAACCCTTCAGTGATAACTACTGTATAAGTTACTTATTATTAATGGGACGAATAAGCAAATAAAATAGATAATGGATAAATACAAATAGAAAACAATGTAAAAATTTAAAAAACCTTGAATGTTGTCGCTAGGAACCAGAGTTCGTTTCCGATTATTTTGCACAGCTAATTGCTATTTAACCCTAGCCCGTGTCATTCATGTGGCAGCCCTGGACTTCCTCTTCTAGTGCTACAATTCCTGTCAAGACGTCACCGAACAAACAAGGACTGTACAGTGTTATTGGCCCTGAATTTATTTGTGATATTTCAATTTTGAAATAATATTCTAATAATGATTAAGTATTAAAACTCATTATAATCGTTTGAACGATCTTTGGAATGAAAATTTTATGTTGTGTTTTGAGTCTCTTCTCTAAGTTTGCAGAAGAGGGTTTTCTTTTTTTTCAAATCATCACAGCTATATTACTGCTCCTCGGCATCCAAAAGAGCCTGTAAAAGTGACTGTAAATTTGGAAACTCGGCGCCGTTGTCCTCCAATCGCTTTTGGACCACTCTACGCACTACGTCTTTGGAATATCCAATCTCCATAGCCTTCTGAGTAATAGGATTAAGCATCTTAGCTTCCATTTCGCTTGTGTCCAGTTTAGCAGAGACGGGTATTGGTTCGCTCTTAGATTTTCCTTGAATGCTCATTCCTCGCTGAACGTCTTTAACGAAATCGCTTCCTTTCGTAATTTGCAAAAACTCGCAAGTCGGAGCCCACCGCGCATGCTCAATCCAAGGATCTTCTTCCGGTTGCCACCCGCAGAGACCCACCCCACAATGGAAGCACAGAACAATGTCAAGGTTTCCCTCATAAAAGAAACCTGCCCGGGAAAGGTCCTGTGCTCTTTGGGTCTTGTGATCCGGCCATTCGTAGAAAGTGCTAAATCTATCTTTTGCCTGGACGTATTCTGGATAAAGAGGGTTAAGTTTTGTAGCACTATTCAGGTCTCTTCGTTTTGCAGATTCCTTTGGGTGTTGACGGTTTGTATTAGAGACCGGAACCTGGGGCCCTTTTGTTTTGCCATATTTTCGAGCTCCAGAGATTTCTTCTGGTGCTTGGGTTGACTTGCTTACATCTCTTGGGAATGCTTTAGGTTGTGAAAACGTTTCAGACGACTTTTCTTTTCCAATGGTCTTCAAAACATTCAGAGCGATGTCCTTACTCCTGGCGTCGGCCTGCTTTTCTTTCACAAAAGGACAGTCGGGGAATAAACGGGTGTGCTCCCCTAATGCTGTGTCCCCTTTGATCCACTTGTGAATACTGCCATTACAAAAAGCGCATGTAGCTCGATCATCACGGTCAGAACGAGGAGTATAGTAGAAGCCAGCCCTTGCCAATTCTACTGGACGAACGGGGCAATCTTTAGGCCAGTGGTCAAATGTACTCAGGCGATTGTACTCTGCCGTCATGTCTTTTGACAGTGGGCAACTGACTGGAGCCGTTGTGTCTTCATTGAAGGGATTTCCTGCTTTATCTCTGGACCCGCCTGTATTCCATGGGTTCATTAATCTTACATTTTGTCTGTGCGAGTCGTCTTTCAGTGGTGTTTTGCTTTGTTCTTTGACAAAGATGCAATATGGAAAGTGTCTTTTGTGTTCAAGGAACGGGATGTCCTCTGGTCCCCAGTTCATAAGCTGTCCCACACAAAAAGGGCATTCGACGAGATCCCACGTGTTTGTGTAGATAAAACCAGCCAGTGCCAAATCTTCGGCGTGCACAGGACAGGTTCTTGGGAAAAAATCGAAAGTTTTCAGGCGTTTTGGAAGACTCCACCACGAAGAGCTAAATATTTTACTTGGAGGTCCATGCCAATGACGTGAAAGAAGTTCTTCCTCCTTAATTCCAATTGTGCTTTCATTCCATTGACGTGGGAGATGTTGCTTCGAATTCAAACTTGGTTCAGAGATGGCGCCACCGGCCGCATGCTTCTCCGGTGGGATTTCGCACGATCCTTCCTTTTGAAGGTAAGGATTACAGTCATCTGTGGCATTGTGTCCCCCGGGTGGTTCACTGTAATTATATGTTTTGTGGTTACCTGTCCTGAGAATTCTTCTACGTGTAGATTTACCACTGTCATGTGGATTATTAATGCTTCTTTGTTTCCCTTCTACTTGTTTTATATGGTGGCATTGTTTATTTGCCAAACTTGCTTTCTCGTGATATGCCGTCATGGCAGGAATGGCTTGGATTGATCAGAAAAAGCGAAGTTAACCTGAAAGGAAAACAATTATTGGAATGAACGTCACATTTTCCTTCCTTTGGGCTAATAATGTGCAATCTCTGTGCAATGATGAATCATGGAAAATCAGTAGTACAATTATGCTATTGAAATGCCTGAGAATCTTTTCTATACCTTTCAATTGCAAAGTTTTAATGTTACATTTTCACATATGTACATTGTTGTTGTTGTTGTTTTCTCAGATGTTCACCACACAGCCCTCATATCGTGACGGTTTAAATGTGTTCTATGGCCCTTCTTTATACAGAGGCGTATGTGTCAATATTTGCACTTTTTGAATCGTTGAAAGCTGTTTGATGTTTTGTTGAAAGTGAAAGGCTTAACCCAATATATACCCCCGACAAATGGTTGTTATGTGCAGATCGAAAGTATACACACTTTGGTGAGTCATGCATAAGACTTTGGTGAGTCATGACTCATGAGTATATGAGTAGATTGTTCATGTAAGATTGATGTTGAAAAAAAATGATAGACTTAGATAGACATATTATCCTGACACACGCCAACAAAAACAAAAACAGCAAGTTTAGATAATAGTTATCAAATTAGGTCACTCAATTGCAATTTGGATATGATATGCAAAATGAAAATATGATATGCGTTTAATATGATTTATGGTTTATTGTTATTTTTTATTTATTTATTTATTTATTTATTTATTTATTTATTTATTTATTTATTTTATTATTTATTTATTTATTTATTTATTTATTTATTTTGCTGTTGTTGTTTTTCGGCTATTGACTTTTCCAGCAGCTGTTGTATAATTAAATATTACCAAAATTAAAAACCAATAGAGAAAATTCATTATGACAAGTTTTCGTATCGAATGAAAACCACTTCAAACTAAAGCGCGAAAAATTCTACTTAACAATTAGCACGTTACATGTACATAGCGCTATGACAACGATCAAAATTCAAAAATTGACATTGAAAATCGTTATGACACAGTCTTAGTATCGAATAAAAACGACTTCGAACTAAAGCGCGAAAAAATCCATTTAACGTAACGGTACATGTACATACTGTCATGAATTTACTCGTAGATAGCGTCTTTTAAATATTTACCGATGGACGTCAGCAAAGAAAGCCGGTGTAAAAGAAATGGTAGCCCGCTGTCCGCACAGGTGACGTTCGTCCTCTACACTGTCCCCAAAGTCTCCTACTAATCCTAAACTCTACTTATCATACTGAACGGACAATCCGCTGTTTAATTGGACTTAAACTGGTTATCATTTGCACGTGCACATCACGCGATGGTAACGCCCATTCTAAACAAAGATGTGAGGGCATACTGACAGAATGGACTTTCATGTCAGGGGCGGATCCAGGATTATTTGAATCCAGAATTATTTAGATTTTAAATAAACGATACCCACTGGCATGTTAGTAATCGTTTGGAAATGTACATTGTTTAAGGCGAATAAAAAGGCATACCGGAGCCCCTTCTGGTAGATAGCCTGGACCATGGCCAAATTGTTAAGATAATGTGTCCATGCCAGCCAGTGATAAACACCATACTAGTATGATATACTGTAAATGAAATGTATGACAGGTCCACACAACCCTGTTTACAAATTGTTAACGCCGTTTTGGCAAACCGCCATTTCCTCAACTACGATTCAAAAACTTACCTTCAAACGTCACAAAGTAGGTCACACAAACAGTAACTAATGCTACTTTGAGCGACCAAAGCCGTCAAGGTGAAGTCTGCCAGGTTATATTATTACAAGTTTTAGATGAATTGGATCGCTTTTAGAGAATCCTTTGTATGCCAGTGTCCAGTAATTTAAGTTAGCAAAAAGTACCGTTAAAATCTGACGCAAGAGTGGAAGTTATAATGACGAAATAAGAGGGGGTTTTGGTTTTGCATTCCCCTCCCCCGTCCGGATATCGAACTATCTGCTGCTTTAATCGATTAAGATATTGACTTAATTTTCACATATTCACGAAGATATCACTTCTTTTCCTTTTCAAATGTTAAGGGAATTTTGCACGTTGGAAAGATATCTAAAAGTCACAATACTAGTCGCAATTACACCTACAAGAAAGTGCTCGAATCCATAAAGGGGAATTCCCCACGTCACTGCTAAATCAGGTTATGATCTCAACCGTACTGAATGACTTGGGAAGGTGCATTGCACGCTTTTATATAGATTGGTTATAAAGGGTGGCCGAAAAAGATGTATCCATCTCATTTTTGCTATATTTTCTAAGAAAATTAAGAAGTTGGCATGGATACTGTAATTTATCAGTAGGAGCAACACCGCATTGCGCATGTGCGTCACTCCTATATAGGCCTACCTCTTGACCTGCTAATTCTCCAGACCTATGACTTATCCCCTTTGGATAAATATCTGTGAGGAAACCTAAATGACAATGCCCTTGCCAACAATCCCCAAATCAGTGATACTCAAGAGTGATACACTTGTCAGTATGTATCAGTGATAAACTTGAACCGAGATTAGGAAAATTCCCCCATGACATGTTGAACCTTGTCATTAAAGCTTCAATGGGGGAATAGCTACAGGGATCTAGTACCAAGGAGCTTGGATCGAATAAATTATAAACTATTGATCAGTGCTCATAAAACAGTAGTATACGAAGAAAATACTTACACCACACCAACCTGACATATCTGTAAGACAGGTCTTCAGCAATTAATTGTTAAGACTCCCTTTTTAAAGGATAGTACGATCACGTGAAATAGTTTACGAGCCAATAGACTGTGAAAAGGAAGTTGTTATAATAAAAGTGTGACACATGGTTTGTAGTCCATAAGATATAATTGACATAAGAGCCCTTTGGCGCGCTGGTTACGTGCGTAAGGATATGTTTTAGGTGATGTCGGATCCTAGAAGAAACGTTACAGAGGTAGGAACAAGGACGCTTTGTTTGGCAGTATATTGATCTAGCATTTGTTCTTCAGGCTCTTCTTTGTATTAATGAACTACATGGACATTCGATTATGAAGACAAATTGCGTCTGACAAAAGAAATAAAGGTTTATGGCTGGTAAATAATTTTCATATCTTTTATATCGAATAAAATAGAAAATCGGGTCATAACTTACAAAAGGAAAATCCTTTTTTAAATTTGAAATTGTCATTACATTTATCTCTACATTTATTTATTTGTTTGTTTATTTATCCATTTATTTATATTATCTTTTTAATAAATGTACACATTTTCTCTTCTGATCTACAGTATCTTAAACTTCTGAAAAAATAATGAACCCTATATTTTGAGTGACGTTTTGACACAACTTTTATTCACAAGTTACAATAGCCTTTTACATTGTCTTTTAAGAAATGTCTTCAGCAACGTACAGGCACCTGGTACAGAATAAAAATATCTAAATGAAATAAAATCAAAAACACATCTGCCTTTCTCGCCTGAGATATTGCGGATAAATATTTAGTAACTGAGGATATTTATGCGCTGAACCCGCTGTTCATCAGTTGAGTTTCGATGTATTAGCGGTTCAACAGCCCAGGCTGCCCAACTAATACAGTGGAATTTTGAAGCAAGTACATTCTCTCTCTCTTTCTCTCTCTCTCTCTTTCTCTGCGTGCCTGTGTGTGTCGGAGAAAACTCTCTCTTATTTAAAAAAGACCAAATTTACTTGCCAAACGAAAACAACTTCAACTCAGTCCACTTTTGTTTTGCAGGGTTAAAATCGGTCAATATACCGTGGTATCTCATCAGGTGCTACCAGCACAGAATGAAGATAAATACATAACAACGGAATTATCTGTCTTAAATGACCATTTATTGTCTTAATTAGTTATTATAAGTCTAATTGACATCATATATCATTAAAAACCAAACTAATTTATAAGAAATTAAATTAATTTCTGTGGCAAAATGAAAAAAAGTGATATGTGATATGGTGAACTCCTCAATCAGGAGCACTGCCCACACGAACGTCGACAGCTTACAAGCATGTAATTGGGATTCTTGGTGCATTCTCCCATTCTCCACCAGGAAGGACAGAAGACGTTCTCGTCAACGCATGGCTCTGAAATAAATGAAAATGAACAAAATAAACAAGTAGGCCTAGTTGGTCTCCCTACCTTCAATTTTGGAATACGCGCTTATTACGACAAATTAATTTTGAGAATGAACTGAAATAAGGCAAATTATTATTTTGAAGTAACACAGTTATGAATTCAAAAAATGTTTTAAAAAATGTGAGATAATTTGGCATACACTTATAGAACAACAATAATTTGTGACCGTACCTGATGGAGATCCCGAGGTGCATCTATTGCAGGACTTGGGGCAGTAAGGGATCATATACCGAGGGTTACGGGTGCACTCGCCACGTGAAGCCCACGAGGCACAGTATGTGTTGTAGTCCACGCAACTGCTACTTCCTGGGAAGTAAAAGAAGGAAGATAATTAAGAAAAACTTTAAGCATAAATTTGAACACATGTGACAGATACTTTGCCACTTAAGTTCAGGGGCTTTTAAAAACATTTTAGGTTAAAATTCTTTTTCGGTCCTTTTTTCAAACTTTCAAACTCAACAATATTATTTTCGTTCACTTACTTGGAACTATTAGTATAAACTTTCCTATAATAAAACTATTTTAAAAAACAAAACTATTTAAAAAAACAGACTATTTCAAAACTAAGAAAAGTGTAATAAGCAATGGTGTTTCTTTTGTCAATATCTATAGTAAATTCAGGGATATTTACCAGCCAATATTTCGTCTGCTGATAGTCAGACTTCATCAGGGAAATGAGGGCTTTGACTATATTGGTTATTTCAAACTAATGAAACTGTTCAACAACACAAAAGGGAAACTCAATATCAATATAATGAGGGAAGAATAAACTTTCTAGAATAACAGCTGGAAAACAAAATGTCTCCTACCTCCTCCACTGCAGAGACGACACGACTGTCTACAATTCAGCTGCATATATCGTGGGTTACGTCCGCACTCGCCTCGTGCAGCCCAAGCTGCGCAGTTGCTGTTGTAATCTCGACAGTTGTCTGTAACAGAAAAAAAAGCAATCATAATCATCACCATCATCCTTCGCCCTTGGGCGGAATTGGAGCAGCAACATCATCATCGTGTTTAGACCACAGTTGTTTTAAAATAGCAATCGAGGTTGAATCACATATTTCTTGCAAGAGGGATATATAAGTCTTCGGTAGTGCTTTGAAAACAATTGATCAGAAGTTGTTAAGTACTAAGTTAAGTAAAAATATATAATGCAGGTGCAATAAACTCACTGTTGCCACCCCCGGTACCGCCCCCAGTTCCTCCCCCGGTACCACCCCCGGTACCGCCTCCAGTCCCGCCCCCGGTTCCACCCCCGGTACCGCCTCCAGTGCCCCCTCCGGTGCCGCAGGGTTGCACTGGAACGCCACTTCTAGTTCCTGGACACATACAACGGCAATTTTTGTCCACGAAGCCCGGGGAGGGGCAGCTGGGTCTGTTGGCGCAGCCGCCTGTGAAATAAAAAAATCAGACTCGAGTGAATAGTGTTTCTTACATGGAGAGAGGTGCGCTGGTTTTGCGCTGGTTTAAGAATTATAAGACAATTTTCCTTATTACATAATTTACAATAAAGAATGTTAAAGAACTACAGGCCCGTAACCAGGGGGGTTCGGGGGGTTCGAAAGACCCCCCCCCTTTTTGCTGAAAAAAGGTCCACTCTGGGTAAAATTTGACATAAGTACATGGGGATTTTTCGGTTAGGTCCACTTTTTCAGAAAAAGAACCCCCTCTTCGAAATTGCTGGCTACGGGCCTGAACTACCAGTATTAACAAATGACATGAACGTAGTGCAAAATCTGTTTCTAAAACGACGACACTCACTATCGCAACTGTACATGGCGTTTGCTAATTTGACATCGCCGAAACTGTGCCCAAATCTGTTTCCAATCGTATTCTGCTTGGCTGGATCCTTGGTTATAATGGTCCGACGCCCATTGGTAGAAAAAGCCTGAAAATATATAGGTTTTGTATTTCCATATGTATTAGAGGCCCATCAAATGAAAGCAAAATTCAGAGAATTCAACAAGAAGACGACGAATGAAATAATAAAAAACTTAAACTTACATATTGCCCATAATGCATGACGCTGTCGTAGTCATATGGCACGCCGTGCGTACTAGTTAAAGACTGTGGATATCTCTCAAAATTGTAATAAAGATGTCCCGGGATGTTTGACCTGACGATGGTGACATAGGTATCCCTGTCGTATCGCGTCTGCTCGTGGTTGAAGCCGATTGCGTGGCCCAATTCATGGATGATTATTCCTTTCTGATAGATATGATGAGAAAGAATAGGAAAACCAAAATTATAAACAGTGAGAAGGGAGTAAGACTTGAGATATGTATATATATAATACGGCGACATCTTGTTGACAATGGATTAATAAATATAGTGTCCATCAACCTGGGTAGGGCTTTAGAGCAACAGCAAAGTAAAATACTACTTCTACTACTACTACTACTACTACTACTACTACTACCACTACTACTAATAATAATAATACCTCTGCTCAAGGCATATTGGGGTAAAAATTAGACAATATAATTGTGGACAAATGAAAAGAAAATAATGGTTAATGAGATGAAGGGACATTAAGTGAAACAATTAGATAAACACGAGGTTAAAGAACGATTCAACTTACCGATCTGCATCCTCGAGCTAAGTTAACTGGTTGTTGACCTCGACCTAACATCCCGACATATGAAGAACACCTAAAAATAAAACGACAAAAAAAACCCATCAAACATTTTCATTTGGAGCATAAGGACCCTTTACAGGTGCATTTTATTAATAAATCAACACGTTTCATAAGAGAATGTTTATTCAATTGCAGTTCCAAATCCAACATGGTTTTCTAGTAAGCATTAATCATTTTCTTCTTACCCGGCTCCGTTTTGCAAGTGTATGTAATTCCTTTCATTTGTTCTCGGTTTGAACTGGATGCATGTGTATGTATTCCAGTCGTCGAAGGCCTGCTGTATGGCTCTGCGATCTGAGGCACCTGTGAACGTAGATCGGTTAAGTAGTATTATATTATATTAGAGAAATGCACTGCATGCACTGCATTTATTTTGCGCATGCGTGCGAATGCCTTTTTTGAACTACACGTGCACGTGCGTGATTCCGCCGATTGCGTTTGAGTACGTTTAAGTACAAGCTTTAATGTGTGTTAAGATTTTAAAACAAGATCAGTTATCTTTTTTATACAAACTTTACTTACTCATCACCGACGAGATTGTGTATGGGACTATATTATTTGTCCATCGTCGTCTTCTATCCCGTATGCCTTTCCTCTTTTTTCGCCTTCGTTTCTCCCCGTAGTTACCATCCTTGTCTGGAGGCCTTATAAGATCAAACAGAAAAACGGTTTAATTAACAAATGAGAAGTGGTGATGGTATTTGTCTTACGTTGTAAAACTTTTACTAAAATTTTGTCAGAAAAAAAGATAATTCACAAGTTATCAAGGTGGGTTCGTGTCTTAAAAAACCTTCAGATAATATTTATTTCAGGCAAAAGCGAGATATCACCACCCGTTTCATAACTGCAACTTTACCACTGAAAGCGAATTATTGAAATCACTTGTTGTGCTATAATATATATGTGTGTGTGTGTGTGTGTTTTATTGGATCCTTACTGTCCTCATACACGACAAATCTACTCACCCAAACTCCTCTTCCCTGGCTCTTGCGAGGGCGAGGTAGTCCTCCCGCAGCTCTAAAATGTCTAGTTCGCGTAGTACGACACTGTCATCTTGAAAGAGTTCTAAAGCCTTGCCTGGAAAGGTATGAGAACAAGAGTAAGGTCCTGTTCTGAAACAGTTGATCCGCGGGCTGACAAGTCCAACAATCAAAAGAGACACGCACTTGACAATGGATTCCCGCTTCCCATTTGCGCCGCCCCAGCAGGGGCAGATCATTTAAATCTCGGCATGCTTTCATGTGAGTCGGCAATATTTAGGATAAAAATTCTACTGGTTTTAATAATACTGGCATAACAAGATACGCAGAATTAAAACAAATTAAAAGCAAATGAACCACTATCCGACTTTTACTCCGAAACAAGACATACTTTTTACCCTACTCGTTTCCCCCCATTTTTTAACTTACTGATGATATTTTATTTACTCTATGCAACTGGAACACGTTAAATACTCGGTGTAGGTGTAGAACTAGGAAGATGATGAAAAGTTATGTTGATATTTACTTTCATTTGCTGCACTGTTGATAAGTTCATCCATCGTTTGTGCGTGTGACACTTCTGATAGCTGAAATAGTTGGATAAGCATAATATCTAGAGCCTTCGGCAACATGCAAAAAGTTTAAAAATCATAAGGCAAAATAACTAAACACCACATTACACAACCATTTGACGCGTTAGATAGGAAGTTGGAAAAGGTACGTATCAATATATTGGTAATAAACTTAGCAGACAGGCCACTCACCCAAACTGCACAGACTGCTGCTGTCAGTGCTACGACGGCAACCCGCGGCGATAACTGTGCGTTTCTCATACTTCTTCTACTTCTGTAACAACTTGCCCATTCTGGGGTCTCTTTTATACATTTTCGGTTGGAAGCCGCGTGCAAATGCACGGTCCGCTTAATCTAAACTTCCGCATGTCCAGGTTATTAAGTTTGAAGATAATTTAGCTTCATCATCGAAGGCACGTGGAGTAGTCAGATTCATGACGTGAATGTTTTTTAAAACAAAGCTATAAGTGCCCAAACCGTGGGGATGAACAGGCAGTTTTTAAGTCAATTATTTTTATATCGTCCGTGGTCATCAGTTTAGTCATACTGGTAGGGGTCAGGTAAGGCGGGCATTCACCGATCTCTAGACCGACCCTAATTGTATGGTTCGTGGGCATTAACAGCGTCATTGTCTTGGTCATTTGAGAGGGAGATGGACTAGCGGAGCAAGACCCCATTTCCAGGGATTAGATCGATCTACTTTAGATCGACCCAACTCCCTGGGGGTTCACGCTAAATAGCTGTCAGCCGGGCGGACACGAAAGTTAATTACCCCCTTACTGCTTGTAGTAGGCGGGACGAACATTGAAGCCGGATTATCTGACAGTATTTTAGTGAGACTCCCCGCGGGGATAGATCAATCTAAAGCTCTGGGAATAGAGCCCAAGTGATATAATTCGATGTGGGGGCTGCATATGGCGTATTCAGAACAAGTTGATCCGTGGACTAACTGATCCGCGCATCAAATATGACCGCTCCACTTGACAGCTCGCCGCATAAATCCCTTGTAGACACTGAATAGATTCCTTTCGGGGATTAAGCGGTAAGCATTCAAGTGGGTCGGCAAGACAGTCTACGTTTCGGCTGAACAGATGATCCTGCAAACAAAAATGGTTGCGAATTATCTTAGCACTCGGCAGAACTTTTTGACTCCAAGCACAGATGCGTCAGGTACGTCCTCTAATCCAGAGGATACTTTGCAAAATACCAAAAAGTGACTTTTATTTTTTAACAATAGTTAGAAATCAGTAAAATTTTTTACAAGTTGAATGAAAAGCATTATTTTATGACTTGTTTTTTTTTTTTTTTTTTTTTTTTTTTGTATTTTTTACACATTGCATTAGGGGTGACACCTTTTTGGTAGGGGTTGAATACTCAAAAAAAAAAAAAGCATTAAAACTACTAGTAAAAATGTGAACGAAGTCAAGCCTCGTGTCCTCACTGTTTTATTCAAAATGCACCACAATATATACCACTAGCGGACCCAGGATCCCCCCCTCCTAAAAAAAAAAAAAAAGGAGGGGAGAAACACTCACCAACCCCTCCTCCGGGCTCCGTTCTCCTAGGGTACATGTACGAACGCACTCGAACCGCTTTCTCCCCCCTGACCATGCAGTGCGCCCGCACCGAAACCTTTGTCAGTGCGAAATCAAAAGCCTACGTGTGCGACCCACGTAGAACATTATGTACATGTTTGTTGCCGTAAAAGGCAATTGGCGAAGATTAGATCCAGATTGGAAACATGCTAGTATACTTGAAGAAAATCAGATGAAATCGCTCCTTTTATGATGAGTCGATGGTCATTTTTTCTTTGGTGGTCTTTGTCACGCTATTGTGTCCCAGATTTATTGCGATAAAGAGAAAGCAAACATTAATAGTCACAAAAATACTGTAGGAGTCGCGATCGACAGAGAGATTATTTAACATGATTAATGTCATATTTCACGTCGTTTTTATCAATGTCCTATATGTCACAATAATTTGTTTTACCCCGTGACACTCTGACTGACACGATCTCTCTCTCTCTTGTGGTTGTGTGCACGAAATATATTTTATTCATAATAAACAGTTGGCTCCCAGTTATGACGACGGATGGAGACAACAAAGTGTTTTCCAATGTTCGTTCTCTTTTTAAAAAAATGATAATAAATATAATTTGTTTTACCCCGTAAAGTGTACTTTGACTGACACGATCTCGGTCTCTCCCTCCCTCTCTCTCTCTCTCTCTCTCTCTCTCTCTCTCTCACATATAAAACTGTCATATTACGCCGTTACCACATATTGATTTTTGATTTTTCACTAGACATTCACAGATATGGCACTTGCTAATCCCTATCACTTTTCTGTATGAGTTAGAGAAATGTGCACATAATTAATCTGCAGTCCTGGTAGAGGGTATAAGGAGGCTCTCTTTGCATTTTCTTTTGCGATCTCTGCATTAGTAATTTCTTGCGATAACAGATTAAAACTGAAATATTAGGCCCTAAACGTAAAATAATGATAGTACAGACTTGACATTTAATATGGAATATTTCAGTTTCGAAGGTATACCTAGGTGAAAATACGTTCTTTTTTAAAAAAACTCTCATATAAGATTTGTGAATGTAAAAGTGTGCAGTCAGGTGTGTCACTACCAATTAACTGACTTTCATGCCTGTTGCGCTGCTACATTTTGTAATTTGCAGTGATTTAATTGGGTAGTGTTCCTTTGGGCTGATCAAAGCTTGGCTTAGGCAAAGCTTGGTTCTGTCAAAAAAGTATCCATATTTCGGCAACTACTGCATAGAAGAATTTGAAATTTTGCATGCAAGCGGTCAGTTTTGCAGTGCGTAAGATGAGCCAAGTAGTGCATTACAAATTCGTTAATCTAAGGCAGAATGGCGCGAAAAAGACAGACATAATCAGACAGATCATAGCGCCAAACGGAACGGTCCCCAGTTTTATAGAGTAATGCCCAGACTGATGTACCTACACAGAGGTCACCCCCAATGTATCAAAATTTTACCTACAGGGTACAGGGCCCACTGTCTTTCGGGATACGCTGCTGCAACTGAACAAAAAACACTTAGTCCGTTCAGAACGAGGGGTAAATTGCCACTACAATGCGTTTTTCAAAGCCCTTAGCGAACACCAAACTGGTTTTAGCAGGTAAGAACACCAAATGACCTCCGAGGTACCCACTGTATACAGCAAAACATCGTCGTCTGTTTCTCTAATGAATTGGGGGCCATGAACGATTCTGGGTAGAACACTGAAACTGCGTGACTTTCTTTATTGAGGTCAGATTTCACCTGTACCGCCCAATTAGTCAAAACAGAGTTTACAGATATCCAGAAGAGGCCTACGACGAAGCATATGCCGGGTCTAAAGTGACAAGGGTGATTGACAGCGTCAGTATTTGGAGTAGATTCCACATTGGTGCCAAAACACCAATGGTAGTCATCGACGAAAACCTGAACCAGATCAAATAAATGAATAATCTGGGAACCACTTGACTATCATTTGATAGGGGGCAACTTAGGAACAATTTTAGGTTGCACGATGAGATTGCCGGTTCACACAGAGCACTTTTAATAGCAGATAACTTACAGAACCAAGGGAATGAGTAG